CTACTTCATCTTCCTCTTGACAGCTGATACAAAAGGGATCAGTTGAAATGCCTTGTCTTACCGCTTGAATACCAATCACACAATGGTCCCGTCCGAAACGCCATCACTAGCCCTTGAGAGGTAACGTGCTATTCGGCACCTTTAAGGGGTAACGATGCGTCACTCGTGTCTTGCGCTACAAAATCACAATTGAAATAAATGAATTTACACGTATCACATTGTGATTGTTTTTAAATATTTTATTTTCTGTCTTTGTTTTAAAGTTTATTTTTTTTTATTTTTCCACATGAATTGCCATTATACAAGAAATCATTTTTGTACGCATATAAATATTTAAGGAAAAATCAACAAACCTTCGGCCGTATTAATAAGAATTCTTAGAAAGATTTTGATTAGGCAGCAATCGAACGAACGGTGGGGATTTAATGGCTTTGATTACTAAATAATTTGAGTTAAATTGTTGCACAGGCAGCAACTCTCTTCGGAAAAGTAAAACCTTATTGCACATCTACAGCCCAAGCACTTCAATTTTGCACCCCATTTTTAAAAATCGAACGAAAGGTGCAGATTTGATGACCTGCACAAAAAATCCCTTCGCGTATTATATATATAGATATAGGTTAGAGAATCAAATATTTACTTTCAAGGGAACTTTTAAGCGCCATGTTTGAAATAAATAGGTAAAATTTTTTTTTTATTATAAATAGAGGCAAAATTTCGAACCCGGTTCCATAAGAATGATAATTTGAACGAAGACTATACCAATACTTTTGGTTCGATGTCGTATCGGTAAGTCGAATAATCTTTTTGCTAAATAGACATTCAATGAATTTACAAATTTTTTTAATTTCCATGATATTAGAGTGTATAATTCGTTGTTACAAAATAATCTAGATATTTATATGTATAAGTTTCTTTTACTTAATATTTGTTTGCTTTAAATTTTTGTAGTCCAACGACTTGTCGTCGAATTAAGTTTACCCTTATACCTTTCCCCTTTTATTGTTGACCAACACTTGATGCGGTTAGTAGTTAATTACTACTAAAAGGATAATCATGTCACTGCCTAGAAGTGCGTTAATGCGTTTTCCTAATTTATTTTAGAAGTATTTGCACTTATATTTATTTACCCAGCCTCTTTCGAGTTTTTCTTTGCTTTCGCTAAAATTTCTTGCGGCAAAGTCAGTGTATGTACATATGTAATTGCGAATGAAAGTACCTATGTATGTATGCACATGTATAATACGGTTTTTGCATTTTTTTTCGCTCTAGAATCTAGATCCATCATCATAGAAAAATTGGTCGATATATATACATACATATATTATTATTTATCTGAATATAGTAAGTACTTACATGTAAATGAATAGCAATTAATTACTCAAGGTTCAATATTGATGATTATGATTATATTGAATTTTTTTGGTTAGTTCTTTCCTTTTGGTGTATTGTCTGTTTATGTACATATACTAAATACCACCTTTGCAGATGTTGAATAACATTTTTCGACAGGATTATTTTATTTAAAGAGAGGACATGACTTGCAAAAAATAATTCTTGTATCATTGCTTCGAATAAAGTGTTGCTTAGCTTTCTTTTTAGTGAGGTGTTGTATTTAAAATGCTACATAGGCATAGTCGTGTTCTCATTTCTGTGATCCTTTTTATGTAGTACATACATACGTACATACATCCCATTCGTCCTTCCATTATCTTTAATATCAATATTAACAGTTTTTTGCATAGGTTTATTATTTTCACATAGATTTCATTGCTTAAAAACACCAATTTTGTAAAAAAAAAAACATATACGATTATCGCATTCATATAATGAAAACATCGCCACTATTATCAGTTTATTGTCGTCCTTACAACATACGATATACTAAAACCTGTTTCAACTGAGCTCCACTGGCTATCGCTGGAGAAATACATAATATATGGCGCAGTTGCTAGAAATATTAAAACCGTTTATAAATTTAGATTTTTTTTTACTAGCGCAGCAACGTCGTTAGGTACTCACCAACTAGCACCTGACTTGTTGTTAGACCCAGTCCACAGTAGTAAGTCGGCTGGAAATCCATATTATCCCTGAACATCGCATTCGGTATCATCAGATAGTCGTTTTGCCGCCCCTCTGTGTATATAGTTGGGTGGCAAGATTCATCATAGTAAAGGCCATCTTGCTCCGCGGAAAGCGAAAATCTATTCACAGTATACCTAAAATAAACAAAAAAAACAAGCGAAATTATTTAGCCACCCAAAAAGTTGATTACTTGCGCATCCTTATAGACTTACTCAATCATTGTTGTGCCTGGCAATGGTTTTATGCAGATTGTATATTTCATATCTGGTAAATAGTAGTCGCTTCCGAAACTTTTAATTTGGCCCGCTGGATCACGGAAGTACTGCAAGCAACCGGGTGGTGCTAATAAATCCAAATCGCTATGCTTTGTGGAGAAAATCGTACGCAAATCCTGTAGATTTGTTTGGCCCATAAACGGCAGCAAAACGCCATTACCAACGCGTTTTTTCGCCGCTGGACACTCTAGCTGTGTGACCACCAAGTACCATGTGGATAGTGAATATTGTGTGGGCAAACTGAAGTCCAATAAGATTTGTGAAGCACCAGCTGCCACATTGAATGGCAAATACAAGTGTTGACCATTATTTTCTCCACACAGTGTGTAGCCGCCCACCGAAAAGGAGTCGGTGCAGGTCAGTGTGGCCGAGGCTGTGTCCGCGGTTGGGGTCCGCAACTCAAAGCGTTGAAATTCGATAAGCAGTTGACAGACATTACTGCTGTATGGTGTAATTGTGTATTGACATGACGTTGGCAGCTGGACGGGATTTTTGATTATGGTGCGCTTCAAATTCGAATTGCGGCCACACTGAATGTTTGCTGTAAGAGAAGGGAGAAAATGCTTTAAATTCGGAAAGTGGTATTGTGTGGTTTTTGGACTGAATGAAAAAAGTCTATAATTATGTTATCATCATTTAGAGAAGAGCACACATTCTAGACAGTTGAGTTTTCTTAAAAAATCTATGAAAATATTTACATAAATACTTATTTATATAAAGAAGCTACAAGATCATAAAAAACGACTTTGGCAACAAATGTGAGTACTAATCGGACACCGATACGAGCGATGAATTGTTCGCAGACGAAACCCAAATGGAACCAAAGCGAGTCGCTGGGGGATTTTCATATTACTGTAGTGTTTTTTCCAGCAGATCTATACAACCAACGTGCCGGCAAAGTTAGTAAGCATGGTGGAACTTGTTACTTCAAAGTACCCCTTCGTTGTAGATAATCAAGCTGTGATCAATGTCATTAAGTCGGTAATAACTAATTAGATTTGTGTTCAGTAATGTCGAAAATCCTGCAATACATACTTATATATCCTAAATACCCTAAATATTATGTTTATCTCGTACAGTCTGGGTGAACTAAAACAACGCAGTACGAGGGTACTACATGCAGAAAAAAGTCAGCTAAAAATATTTATAATTTATATCAACACATGATTTGATAACTATAACCAAATAATGTAACTATAACCTTTCACTGATCAGTTAAAATATCGACAAGTTACCAAAAATTTCTGCGGTTGAGAGGACTGGTAAGAATTACTGAACACTGAATGTTTGAAACAAGAGGAGTGCGTTGCCATCTCATGCGGTATAAAACCTATTGATGGTGCAGCCAAACAAGCGGTTAGTTCTGGTCCTACGACTGTAATCTCGTTTCTTAATATACTCTTGTGCTAAGGTATTCAATTGAGGGTAACTTTTTTATGTAAAAACTAACATTATTAACGTTACATTTAAATTCGTCAACAATAACACAAGCAGGATCGAAATATTCTTTAGTGCCGTCTGAGCACACAAACTTGTCCTGCTCAACGAATTCACTTGCCGCAAGACCATAGTCTGAGTTAGATTCTGTAGAAATTCTGGAGGGACCTGCTTCAAATTGCACAAAACATTGGGCCTAATGAATAAAATTTAAACAATTGCCTTTTCTTAAAATTTCTGAACTTTTACTCGATTTATTCAAATAAATAGTAAGTTAAATTTCTATACAGAAGAATCAAAAGGCGTTTACTTACTTCTAAGTCAGGGAATCTAGATTTCAGTCTGAAAAAAAATTTTAAAGCCCCAAACAACGGGATTTTGGGCCCGCTGGGGTTGTCCCATAAAAAGCTTTCATTTTTCGGTATTTTCGGGGAAAATTAAAAAAAAATCTATACGTTCAATCATTGTTACAAAATTTTCACTTTTTTTTAGTAAAAATTTCGTATTCAGTAGCACAAAGCGCTCACCCTCTTCAAAAGAGGTTGAACTGAAAAAAAAAAATCGATTTTTTTTTGCATAAATCAATTCGTAGCATTTATCTCCAGTTAATAGTCTAAGATCAGACAAAGGCTTGGATGAAATCTATTTTGTATGAAATTTAACGTGTTTCACGAGTGGGTTGGCTGAAAAAATCCTGGCCAGGATATTTTTAATTATATATTCAAAAATTGTAATACTTTCATTGGTTTAATGAACAAATTATATACCAATCGAAAGTATTAAGCCTATAGAATGTGAAAACGTTGGGTTGTCTATTTTTTTTCTGGCCTACCAATCGGGTTGGCAGGTATGAACAGGTAGGTTATACTAGTAATTTTCACTCATCTGTTTAACACATTCTATAGGCTTTATGGTTTCGATTGTTATAAATTTAATTTGTTCATTAACAATTGAGTGCAAAATTAAAGAAAAATTAATTTTCGAATATTTATATTTATTTTATAAGACATTAAATAAATAAATAAATATCCTGACCAGGATTTTTTAGCCAGCCCACTCGCAAAGAGTATTTCCTAACACGTTAAATTTCATACAAAATAGATTTCATTCATTTAAAAGAAGGTGAAGGTCGTGCCCTTGTCGGATCTCCAACTATAATGTAAATATTGTTTCAATCTTTAATTTTTTACAACAACAACGGAAATTAATTAAACTTCATCATACATTTTGGTCTCTGGACATCAATAAGTCTTTTATCCGGAATATCCAAATTTCATTAAATTTCAGAGAATAGGCGTGAATTGGCATACCAAAAAATTATGCTCCACATACAAAAGTGGTGAAAATTTCAATTTATAAAACTGAGAATTTTACGAGTGTCCCGCAGAATCCCGCGTGTCCTGTACAAATATTCCTTATAATTCTTTAAACTTGTTTGAAAGAAACGTAATCTTAAAACTTTTGTTGTTTTCATTAACGTTTCAAAAATGTAATTTATTGTATAACTAAATTTTTTTTTAAAGATGAACAAATGCCATATTTTTCATTTCTTACAATGAACAAAAATGTGCTGCGCATTGCGAATTTTGGACACACTATTTTACACTGACTTCTTTGTTGCAAAAAGTTTATAATTTGGCGCCTATTTATCTTTTTGGGGCAACTAGCGAACAACACAATGGTAGTCATATCAAATGTAACACCTAACACAATTATGCACTTTCATCTTACTCACTCTCACAACACACGCCATAACTGGTGCAGAATCCTTTCGGTGTGCCGCCTTGACGCATGCAATTGAACCGCGTTAGACATGTACCCGAAGTGCCCTCGTTTGTGGTGCAGGCATCGATCAACGGATTGCGGCGCGACTGTCGGTAAATGCTTGGTGGTTCTTGCGCCTCCTCATACGGCGTATTCGAATAAACATAACTGACGTTAGGGTTGTGGTAGAGGATATTCTCATTCCACACGGCATTAAATACGCCAGGACTAGCTACTAACACTAATAAAGCAGAACACAAAAGCACTGATCTGATGGACGAGGAATTCATATTTTTTTCAAGATTATCTTAATGATTTCCGCTATACTAATACCAGTTGTGTGTTAAGTTTGTACTTTTGCACTTCTTATATTTTCTTTATATATTTTTTAAATTTTCACTTATTTCTGTATTCAGATTCGCTTCCTTTACTAATGACGCGTTGTGTTACTCAAAAATATACACAAATATCTATTCCCAATCAACCGTCCGAAGCTCACTGCATATGTAGGATACCACACTCAGAACGCACGCGCACGTACCGCGAACTGTGCCGTTACTTATCCGAAACACTCATTTTATAGATCGATGTGTAGCGGTGAAAGACAAACCGTTCAACACTGCGCATTAGAAGCCATTCTTTGATGCTGACGACAGCTCGTTTCACCGATCATGTGGTCGTTGATACACGACCAGACTGCCGAGCGATCGGCTCGATCTTGTCTAGTTACTTTGAAAAAATTGCTAAGAAAGTACATACTCGTCTGTAGACGTTATTTCACTCGGTTGCGTGCACTTTACACACACACACACACACACACACATACTCGTACTTACACTTGTTTGCACAAACAACACGCTCAGTCTGTAAATATTTACCAGCGCTTTAAGTGCTCGAAAGTAAAATGCAAACTTGTCAAAGAATCCGAATATCTTAAACTTAAATCAAATGTTCTGGTACACATGGATTTAGGTATGCACAATTTCTGCTTTATTTGCACAATTTTTCCGAAACGCTTCGCAGATGCTATTGGAGCAATAAATTTGTGATGATTTCAACTAACCATATCTTCCACATCCCATAAGCGGTTCAATGAGCTTTCTTCCTAAGCTATTTCACACCCATAGACTTGCTTGATTTGTGCTACTAATTGGCTTCGCTTTGTTTTGTTTTGGCTCACAAACTCTGTTAGTGGGAATTTTTGAATTAGAAAATGTTTACACTTTAAAATGTTAATCAAATATTAGTTTTACTTAAAGAGAATTGTGTAGAGTTTGCCGTTTCAGCACTCAATTCTGGTGGCGAAAAAGATCAAGATCATAACGAATTGCTAACAACAATTCTTAAAAGAATAACGAATATTTTTTTTAGCTTGGCTGCGATTGGTATTTAGTTTGAAAAAAAAATTCGCACGATAAAAACGTTGCACAGTGATATTTCATACCCATTTTGTGCTCAGAATTTAAAAAAATGAATATGTTGACATGAATTCAGGTTTTCATGGGTTGTTTAGGTCGCTAAATTCGAATCTGAAGTCAAAATAACAAAAACATAATAATTATATAACACAATAATTTATGTTAAAAATAATAGTAAGAATGGCCTATTATGATGTTATTTAAGAGCTATTGGGGTCGCTAAATTCGAATATTTACGAAATCAAGGTAACGAAGAACAAAATAGCCCATCCAATTTGGCACCTGAAATTAATTTAAAAAATATGCATTAAATGCACGTAGTATTGAGTTATATTAGCTTTTTTAAGTTTTTTTTTTTATTATAATTAAATCTTACACGAAATTGGAAGAAAAAAATTCATAAAAAAAATCATGTTCAGAAAAAAATTCAATATTATATAGTACAAAATCGCGTCTTAAATAAAAGGTCAGACATGTTCGGATACACCATGTATTATTATAGTTTAAAATATAATTATCTTGAAATAAACAAAAATGTATTATTGGCGAAACTTGGAGTAAATGACTTATGACTTTTTCTTTAAACTGTTGTTATTAAAAAACTCACTTGAATATTTTATTATATACTAATGAGTTGAACATCTTAAATAATTTTAATTTCAACCTTATTTAGAACTCACATGCAGAAGAAAAACCCCATTTTACAAAACTTTATACTTTAGCATTATATTTTTAATTTGCAGAGAGCTTCCTCAACTTACACTTTACCACTGATCATAGAAACAGGTGCCAAAGGTCGGGACCTGTCTTGGATATACTTCGATGGCTGAAACATCAATTTAGCCAACCGAAGGAATTAAAACCCCAAAATTTGGGCAGAAAATATCACTGTTCGTTGGCCTAATTCTTTCAACAATTTACTTCTTCCAACTTTAGAAACCATCCTCTCTATTCTAATGGAGTCACAAAACTTACCTCATCACTGTTGTGATTTCTAGTGCGTCGCAAAATGTGCCACAAAAATTCGATTTTATGCTAGAAATATACACAAAAAATTAAAAATTTGTGTTGTAGTGACTAGAGCGCGGATTTTTATGCAAAATACGGGGTCTAGAAATATGTAGTACCACACAGCTATAAGCAAAGTGTATGAATTTGTATACAATTTGTTTGTAGTTAAGTTAAGTTAAGTTTTTAAGCTTCGTTTTCTACAGAAAAATCCGCAGTCTAGTCGTGGCTATATATATACATATGTATATGTATTAGGTTTGTGACTTTGTTAGATAACGGCTGCATAAATGAAAATACTCTCGATTACTTTCTACCTGAAATTTCTCAAACTTATAAAAATAAGTATGTTTTAGAAATTTTATCCAGCACGTACATATTTCCAGCGCACTGGTGTTGAAGAGATTGCCCTTCAGTCAATTATAATATACATAGCATATGCACTAGATTATAAAAAATAATGCAAATATACGACGCATTTAACAGTGTGCCGGCTGAAGCACTATGCACTAAGCTCCTTGACATAAGCCAATGTACTTGTACAAGTATAGCCGCTATCTATCTGTGGATAAAAAAAAAACCTAAAGATAAATCAGAGCAGAGGAACATATCCTGGAATATTCCGGTAAAACAGCAAGGTATTCTCCGAAACAGTGGACAGCTTGCTCAACACATACCACCGACCACCTCAATTTAAAATTTTCGAAAAATCAAGATCATTAGCCACGGTTCTAAAATAGTTAACATAAAACTGTGTACTAGGATTTAAAAATGACTGCCTCCCAGTAATTTCACCTAAATATATAACTTTAAAATATGAGCACCCGGACCCCGTACATCACCACGCCAAAGTTAACCCTTCTGCTGTAAAAACTAAATTGTGGCTCGTTTTTGAAAATGCATATTTAGTACTCTATTCTTACTCTTGAAATCATTTATTGGCAAAAGGGTCGAATGGCCCTTAATTGAGTATACAATTTTGTGGGCTTCATAAAATGGATAAATCATTTTAAATTCGCTTGGAGTACTGTTACGGATTTTATAATTTAGCTTAAAGCTTTGATGCGATATTCAATGCTGAAACCAGTTTCTATGAGACTCCATTGTTCATCGCTGGAGAAATACAACACAAAGGGTCCAGAGCCTGAAAAATAGAGAAAAAATGTTTTTTATTTAGAATTATAAGAAGAATCAAAATCTGACCCAATAAAACTTGTCCGGCCGCCAGCCCTTGACCACAAAAGTAGGTTGGTTGACGTGCTGTATTATCCGCAAAGTTTGAATTAGGTAACATAAGATAATCGCTTTGACGTCCTTCCGTGGCAATGGGCGGACGACAGGCATCGTTGTAGTATTCGTTAGGCAACTCGAACGACAGCGAAAACTTTTTCACAGTATACCTTAAGCGAACAAAAACAATTAATAATCAGTGACCAAACTTTCATATTTTCTTCTTCGAACTTACTCAATATCTTTGGCACCCGTAGCGGCCTTAATACAAATCGTATACTTCAGATTGGACATGTAGTAAGTATTTATGCCATCGCGGAAATTGAAGCTGCTAATGACTCCTTCTGGCTTAGTGTAGTATTGATCACAGCCAGCGGGTGCCAGCAACTCTAAATCATTGATAAATCGCGAAAACAGGTTACGCCAGTCCAGCAGATTATTCACCACGCCGCCGATGAGTGGCGGTAACCCGTCAGCTAGGTGACTATGCGAAGGTGGGCACTCCAGTTGCTCCACAATCAAATGCCAAGCGGTTTGTGTCGAACGCGATAGAATATTAAAATCTAGTACTGTGGCATCCGCAGTGAATGGCAAGTAAATGTGTTGACCGGTATTGTCGCCACATAAGGTAAAACGGCCAGCTGTGAAAGAGTCTTTGCATGTCAAGGTGTTCGTAATGGAGTCCGCTGTCGGTTGTGGCAACTCAAAACGTTGAAATTGTACGAGTAATTGGCAAACATTGTTGCTATAACGTCGAAACGTGTATTGGCATGAGGAAGTTGAGAGTGATTGGCTGGGACTTCGAATGACAGTGCGCTTGAAACGAGAGGTTTGGCCACACTGCAAGCTTGCTGCAAAATTAAAAGAAGAACAAACTAGGATGTTGTCGAGGTAGACAAATTTACAAGTAAATAAATTGCATATGAATCATACCATGTTTTTCTTTAGCTAAGCGAATTTCTTTAGGCTTTCTCGTTTCAGAGAAAAAACTCTGAAAATCTTTACTCGACACGATTCCTACTATGACGAGTCTATGGTGACAGCCAAGCTGTACTCAAAGCATTGGCCAGCACTCTAAATACCTCCAAACTAGTGTCATTCTCCAATAAATTATAAAATTTTTCCTCTCGGTGCCAGGTCGGTCAGGAGTACCTGGGAATCATCTGACCATTTGGCCAGAGAGCGCTCGGAAAAGTTATAACATGGCCATCTTTCGGTCATCAAAGCCGCCATGAGAATCTGATGAATATTTCGCTCAGTAATGACGGAGAGGCTTCGAATGGGGGATGCAGGGTCAAATTCATAAGGTTTTACTAGGTTCTTGCCTTCATTGAGCAGATAAGACTGCAGGCAAATAATGGAGGCGGTTGACTGGCCACTACTCGTTTCATAAACAACCGACTGAGACTGGGGTAAATGACTACAACATTTGTCCTTCTTGCCTTGAAGAGGTTGGCTGCTGGCACCGATGTGTTGAGAGACAAACACCTGAGCTCTTTAACACCTAGCAATCTGCTCTATGTATTCGTAAATCATGTGGATTTAGAAGTGATTAAAAGGGTTCAGGAAAGCAGTGCAATGGACGGCATATCGACTGGGTGGTGTTCTGCATGCGTTGATTTGTGTTGGTCCCGACAAAAAAAAAAACATAAACGTAGATTCGAGATTTAAGCATTGACTCAGATCATTGGAATGTAACAACCGAAATTCCAAATCACTTCTGTATATCTATTTATATTATCTGCTTACAACTGGTGAACGTGTTATTGGCACGTGTTTTTAGGAAGAAGGACAGATAATGCGGAGCTTGCTAAAATTATGATCGATACAATTAAAATAAAAAACAAATAAGAGCTAATGTTATATGTACGTACAGTACAAAAAAAAAAAAAACCAGTTTTCAGAATTCGTTACGTAATTGATGCGGTTTTAAAGCTCACTTTAAAAATGTAGGAACAAAGAAATACTTTGTTCTACATAGGTACTTTCGCTTTCTTTCATTTGCACTACATTTACTTACATATCTGCGTCAGCGACAACTCCAATGACGCAAAAACCGAAAGCAAAAAAACTACAAACTTAAAGTCGAACAACATTACACAAGTAGCGAACGGAATTAACTGAGAAAAACTAGTGTGCTTTGTTGACTATTTATTATTTCATAAGAAAACACAATGTTCCATGCTCTAAAAAACAAATTGATACCGTACAATTTTGAGTACCAAATTTTGGGAATTTATCACTCCTAATTTGATAGCAAATCGAAACATTTTTTTTTTTTACCAGCGCCGATGAAAACCAGCATATAAAGTGATAACTCAGATACCTCTTATACTATCTTATCTATGCATTTTTTGTTAAACATCTTTTGCATTCGAAAGAATTCTCAATGTTTTTCGAAATAAATGTAAGCAAACAACTACACTGCCGATAACGGTCTAACACAACATTATATTTAAACATCATTTTCTGATTGCGGTCGGTGGACGTAGGACAATAAAAAGTGACTCACACTTTGCTGGAGAATAGTAACAAATCATTTTTCAAGCTATTAGCAACTAAACATATAAATACAACGCGCAAATGATAACTTATTTAACTCCAGATCCCATCAATCAACGCACGCGCTTCTCCAACAATCCAAAATGCAGCCAAACGCACCCATCGATAGCCTACTTTTCACCTCCTTGCTGCTCATAATTTGCGGCACACCTGTCGCATACGCCGCCGCAGCCAAGCCCAATTGCGGCGCCAGCACCGCAGCCAAGCACATCCAACTGGTGCAACCGGCGAACCCACCGCGCGAATGCATCTACCACATCAACGCCTACAGCAGCAACGTTTGCCAGCTACGCATCGATTTTTCATTGACACTAGCCCAGCCCAGCGTGCCCGATGCGCTAAATGGCCTGTGGTATGTGCAGTGTGTGCGAGACTACTTCGCGGTAAATGGGCTGCGATTCTGTGGCTCGGAGGTAGCGCAACACATTTATGTGCCCTTCAATCGCACCGCCGGCGTGAAGAACATCGATCTGGGTATTGTTTTAGCGGCACGCGTGGGCAGCAATGGAAAATTACCCACGCCGCGTTGGAATATGGTGGTGAAGCAGCTGGAGTGTACAGCGGGTGCAGCGCAACGGAGCGCCGTGGATTTTGCGCAGGACAACGATGATACGACGACGGAAGCGGATAATGAGAGGATTATGCGAGCCATAGAGCCACGCGCCAGCTTCAGTGATGATTTCCTCATAGCGCCACCGGGCTGTTTGCAATATTATCCTCAGTCAGCGGGCACCATCACCTCGTTCAATTATAACGGTGGCGTGGGCGTTTATCCAGGAAACTTAAACTATGCAATCTGCTTCCGGCGTCAGCACTCTACTAAACTACTTGAGTAGACCTCAAAAGAAATGTATTCACTACTTTTTGGGCTAATAACAGTAAACCTACTTTCAGGATCAAGGTGCGCTACTTTCGTTTGGGTGCCGAATACAACCACCAGAAGTTCCAGGAACTGGACAATTATTGCCGACCGCAGTTACATAGCGAGGGTTTAAGTGAAGACTATCTGCTGATACCGCAGGCTACCATTGTGGACAGCAACATACGTGCCACATATTTTTGCGGCAGCAGCATACAGGGCGACACAATCACAAGTAAAATTGTATTTGTTCATCCAGCGTATTTCTTCTAAATATTAGTACTTTGATTCATTTTTATTGTAGGCAACAACCCCGGGCCTTTGGTGGTGATTTTCAACAGCGATGGTAATCATAAAGCCGGACGTGAAGTGGGTTTCGCTTTAAGCTATAGGGTGTTGTAGTTGTATAGGGTAGAAAATGAGTACCAACTAAGTTCAATAAAGCGCCTGAAGCTTTTATTGGACGTTTTCTTTTGTTTATGAGTTTTATTGTGGAATGAAAGCTTTATGAAATGAAGTGCGGAAATCTGATGAGCTTTCGTTGTCAAACAAAAGCTGCCTTAGCCCTGCGTTAGGATTTATGCTAGAAGGATTGTTATGGCGTGAACAAAATACATACATCATATGTACATACATATGTACATACATATGTACATTAGGGTGGTCAAAACTTTCCCCCAGCCACCCGCCAAAACTGAAGAATATCGAAAATAATGATTTTGAAATCGGTGCCAAGTCCGTTTTTTATCAAAATTTAGGTTTTGATGCAGAATGGCAGGTAATGCGCAACTACATTTCATCCTTAGGTTGTAGAATTAATGTAAAATGGTTGAAAATAACTATTTTTTAATTGAATAAAAATATTATTGTTCAGAAATCTTCAAACAAAAAACTATTAACGCTAAAATTTTCATAACTCCTTTTACTTAACCGATAATTTCAGCTCTAATTTACAAAAATTAGTTATTTTATGTTTTCATAACAATGGGCCGTATGAATAAAAACTTACCAAATGATTTTTTTTTTATTTCACTCGTTTTACTTAAGTTTATTTGAATAAAGCAAGAAAAATTCGGAAATTCTAAGAAAAAGTCAACGCTTAATTTTTAATTTTTAATGCAAAAGTGATAGGTCATAATTCTATTAAATAATGATTTTTGAAGGGAAATATTTTTATTCGATAAAATGAAGATTTATTTTTAACTATTTTACAAGCCCGACGACACGGTTAAATATTAAACGGTCTCGAAATAATGAAACAGGTCCTCTTATTTTCCTTTTTCAATAATTTTAAGAGGTCACAGCAAAAAAAAGTTGTAAAAGTCTATTTTTCAGTGTATTCTGGGACCGCCCTAATGTGCATACATATATACTTTACAAGGTATTTTAGATACTCCTGTATATGACTCAGGATATACAAAATGTAGAAATGTATTATATCTGCAATTTGCCTTTTTTGGGATATTGTAATACGAAAGTTTTTGATTTTTTAGTAGCACATGCGAATACTAACGGTTGGTAATACTAGTTTTCTTGATGCCCTAAAATTGGTGTGCTGCAGAAGTAAACCTTCAAAAATGGGTAACAAATATGGTGTAACGTTAGTTTTAACTGGGAACTGGGTGAGTATTTGAACTCGTAGTAAAGAAAAGATTCCTGAGGGTCACAAACCCTAAAAACCTAAAACCAAGTCATATTTTACCGAACAATCACTCGCATTACAACCTTAGACCATATCGAAGCTTCCCCTCGTCCTTAAGCATTTCATTTATTTCCTCTCAGTAACTTCCAGCCGCACGAAACCTAACGCTTTTCCCTATGGGGGAGTTCAAACTTAACTAAGGCATACGGTTTCAGGAGAGCGTAATTTCGACTGTGGAAAACCTAAAAATATTAGAGGCTTCTGATATCGTTTGTGCATCATGTACATAGCCCAGGCTCCCTATAGACAGAGCTTAAACGGCATTGACCCCAAGTAGGGTGATCAGTCGTGTCCTGATTTCAGGGTCGAATTAAAGTGTCCTGACAGATTTTTCTTTTTCCACCTAATGCGCTGATTTTTACAAAGCTGACCATTTATAAACTTTCTATCGGGTAAAGATAGATATCTTTAGGCGCTTATTTGTACACCGTTTTAATTTTTTTTACCGACCCAGTCTTGTTTTAAGTTTTATAAATTGTACATTTCGCAAGCGACTTTGCCATACTTGTTATAATAAAATATAAATGATGGTATTTCGGGATGGGAGTTTCTATAAAGTTTAATAGGTCTTAGTGTTTTCAGACGAACCTAGTACCTGAATGCATACTTATAAAGAATTAGATCCACTTCATAATTTTTACGAATATCTACTGGCATTTTTTGTGTCTTAAATTTTTTTTAAGTAATAATTAGATGGTCGGTTCATTATAATAAACGGCAGTTGAAAAATAATTTATTTGTTATAGCTGGTTGAAAATGCCATAATGCCAGCAAAAGTCAAATGGCTATAACGCTTTATTTTCATCATGGTTCACATAAAAACATAGTCATATATACATAGATGTTACTTGCGACTGTCCTCATTTTCCCTTCGACTCATCTGGTCACACTAACCCCAAGTTAATCACAACTGACATGCCTCACCTGTGTACATATGTCTAATATTTAGCTGTAACAACAACAATAATAACCCAGCATAAAAAAAATCTGGATTTGTCGACGATTACAAAACTATTTTTTAATCAGTTCATAAGCATTTATCCTTCACTCCATCTATTCAAGTAAATCATCTATTACAACTCAAGGGGCCCAAATTTTTCCCTATTTCTCTTACACTTGCATGACAACACTGTACCTGCTCCATCGAACACACCACCCACCAAGCATGTTGCGTGTGATCCAATGCCCCAACATAGCCGGTAATATGAACGAACAAAACACAACCAAAGCGCCGGCCGCCTACGAATTTGCCGGCATTTGAAAGCAGAGGTGGCGTGTAACAACTCACGCTGAGATTGCCGCTTATCACTCAACATGTGAAACTTGTTATTGGTCAGGCGTCAGGCTGGTTGGATAAAGCGGCCACCAAAAAATACGCGCGCAACAAAATCAACCCAAATGGAAATGTTATGGAAAGGTTGCGCAACATGTTGCTAAAGATGAAATTGGAAGTAAGAGCAGAATAAGCAATAAAAATGTTTGCATAAATGAAAAAGATGTTTCGGAATACAAGCAAAATTTAATACATTAATTAATTATCTGTAAAAATCTTGCTAAAGTCATATCATAAAATATCATACAATTTATAGCAACTCTGTTTGTGAAATACATACAAACATATAGTACATACTTATATATTAAAAGTAAGTGCTTGTAAATTTTCAAATTTTTTTAAATGAAATTTATTATTTATTCTTTGTGGGCAACACAAATTCCCAACAATTTCGCTGATTTGCAAAAAAAAATTTTGCGCGATTGTGTGGGTGTTTGCGCGTAGGTTTGCATGCGTGCGCCAAAGGTTTTTAGTGAAATAGGCGGCAAACGCCAAACACCACCCATCTAACGAACAAGTCGACGACACTCGTTGCATGCTGGCCGCTGCTTTTGCAGTTGGAGCTTTGAATGATGGCGCAATTTAGTCTTTGCCGAACTGCCGCCAATTATGACAGTAAATAGCGGATGAGCGAGTAGTGCGAAATCGAGTGTTTTTCTAAACTACCAAACAAAAGGTGTATGAAAATAGTCTAGCATTAGCTAGTGCAAAAAATAAATTAAAAAATTACTAGGTTTGTTAAAAAATAGTTCGAATTACATATTTCATCAAAAAAAAAGTAAGTCAGTGTAATACTAATCTAATACAAAAAAATCATTGTGCTAACTAAGTGAAGTGTGATGCGAAGATCATTCTCATTTTAATTAATCATTTTAATTAAACCAGCATCAAATTCAATCAAACTAAAAGAGAGAATACAAATTTTTAAAAGAAATTAAAATAACTAAAAATGTTAAAGCTAAATTCATTTATTTTATCAAAAATCAAAGTAATTTTTTTTTTTAATGTGTAGTATATGTCGTATACCATAAATGTTATCTGTGGAAGTTTATTGCAATTTTAATTACAAATCAAATATTGAGATAATAAAAAAATTATTTTCGGCACAATTATTGGACAAAATTTGGTGATTTTTAATTTTAATAAACGAAGAAAAAAGTGAACAAGATTTAAAAATAGAATTCTGTAGCAAAAGTTATTCAAAAATTATCTTTGTGTTGTGCTAAAATGCTAAAAAATATGGTACAAACTTATTGAAGTAAAATTTAACAGCCTGTATTTCAATAAATGTGGAAAAAGGAGTATTTAGCGGGTCTTGTAAAATAACGGTAAGAATTATTAAATACAAATTCTTTATACTACGCATTTTTGATTTGTAGTTATAAGAACCCACATTTTATGGCGCTAAAAATTTTCAAAAGTGTGCAAAACCACATGAAAAAAATTGCTTAGATTGAACGGAATATTTAAAAGATTGTCAACGTAATGAAGACTTTTCAATAAAGAACGCAAAAAATTATAATACTTTTTAAAAGAAGCGATACGAAAGAGATATGCGATGCGATAGGCAATCGCCACAGCGTTTTTCTTGCGATGTATTTGCCAATCGCATCGCATTTCTATTTCGTATTTCATTACAGAGTAGCCCCCCTGAGCTATCCGTCAGCCTGAATTTGAGGTTTCGAGACCTCTGCAGCATTTCTCAGGCAAGACCTGCTCAACTGCTCTGATGGTCTGGGTGCTGATGGTGCGCGTCGAATTGAGCGCCGACCTCTCTTTCAGATGCTTCGAAGTATTTTTTAATTAGATTTAAGTGTAGGTTGGGTATCAGGCCTCAGTGGCATTGCAGGGGACTGCCTTACTGTCGATTTGGAAAGAAAGGATACCATTGATATGATATCACCGGGTGGGGAGCGGAGGTGACGCAAGTGATCACCTGTTGTTCCCACTGGGCCTCTTTTCAACTCAGCGAACACTGGATGGTAGCTAAGACATATGTATGTATGTATATGATAGCAAGGTCCTTTTGGTCTAAGGTGAACTAGAATACAGAACTCTCGCTTTCGGTGGGAGTTACGACAGGAATTCATAAAAAATGAGATGATAAAGAGTCCTACTAGGCTGCTCAACTTCCGATATGCTAAAAGTGGAGTACATTTTCTTGCACTTAATAATCAAATCGAAGGAGCTCTCGGAGATTGATATAAACCATCTCGACAGAGTATTGGTTTCGAGATGCATTTTTGATAAATCTTGTAAAAGAGTATACTCATTTATCAAATTCTTTTTAGCAAACTAATTTTAGTCCATACGAAATGCATAAAAGGAAAAATAGGTAAGCAGGTAACCCAAGTGTTACTAGAAAGA